CGTCGAGGGCGTCGTTTTAATCTGAAAATTTCAGAATTTGGAGCATTTTGGTTTTGGTCTTCAACTCCATTGGAGCTCAAACTTCGAGGTAGGGTTATCCTACTCCTCTCTTTGGATTTTGTCTTTAAATTTTAGTATTTTGAGATGTTAGGGTTGGTTTGGTGATTTTGTGAAAGTTGGGGACCTTTGTGTTATTTTCTAAAAGTTGGGGTTTTATTCGTAATAAACCGAGATGCATGATTGGCATGGGAAAGTGGAATTAATGTTAAAACATTAATGAAAACGGGACCTAAGGGTTGAAATGTTAATTATGGAGAAATGCCCTAATTACATTGGTTAATTAATTTGTAAGATTAATTGTAAGAAATGAGGAATTGAATTGGAAATGTTGATTTTATATCCATTTGTTGCATTTATTTTCTGTATAGAAATAACTGCTTTGGGCTACCGGTGGAGGATAGTCGTGATTGTTATAGACAATGCATGATGATTAGGCAAACGGAAACTAATCACCGAAATGAGTCATTGAGTATGATGATTGAAAGAACACGTTAAATTTATGTGTTGCTTGACGATGTGTATAATTATTGTTTATATGCATTGTGTTGTGTTGGAGGAGATAGGGGATGTACTCCACGGTTTAGGGGAAGATAGGGGATGGACCTCTAAACCGGATGTGTCAGGAGAAGATAGGGGATGGACTCCATAGATAGAGCTCATATGCTTATCTATTAATGTGTTGACAGAGCTCATATGCTTGTCTAGAGAAGTGAAGATAGAGCTCATACGCTTATCTTTGTGAAGTGTAGATATAGCTTATATGCTTATCTGTGAATGTGGGATATTGTCATTACACATATCTGTTGAGAATGTGGATATAGCTTGTATGCTTATCTGTAAATGTGGGATATAGTTTTTATACATATCTGTTGAAATGATGATAGAGCTAACATGCTTATCTGTTGAAAAAGGGAAAATGAAAAGTAACTTGGACTCATAAGTCGTATGACATAAAATGTGATTTTATGTGGACATATCTGTGTCGGCCATCTATCAATTGCTAATCTTTTAGTCATTGTTCATGGTTGGTTTATTGTATTTCTACTGGGCTGTGGCTCACCCTATATGGGATTATCATTTTCAGGTACATGTAGCATGCCACCTCCAAGGACATAGCTTGGGAGGCTAGAGGCGGACACACTTGTCGTTTTGTGTTTTGATGTATTACATGTAAATTCAAGCCAAGGGCTTAATATGTAAATGAGTTAGCACTCTTTTGTTGTAACCAAGTGTTAACTTGGAAAGCTGTAAGCCCGTAGGGCATTTGCTTTTGTTGTTAACATGTAATACTTTTGTAAGAAACTACTCTGATGAATAGAAGAACGTTTATTTTTATTGCCAATGTATGTCTATATTGATGGGTTAATGTTATTATTTTGAGGGCGTTACATGTACAATGTATAGAAGACTAATGCTAATACATTGAATGAGATGGATTCATTATGAATGAATCTTAGAGATGCATTATGTATCTATTATGAATATGTAAGATACATTAATCTATCTAATGAATTCATTAATACAGAAGATACATTATGTATCATGAATGTATGAGATACATTAATCTATTTAATGAAGTTCATTGAATGAATAACTTGAGAGCTTCTCACTCTAGACTACAACTTCTCTATAAAATCATCTAGATCAAGTGATCTTCTACCTTGGTCCCCTTATATAAAGTGTGGGGTTTGGCTTGCTCTTCATTTTGATTCGAAAATTATTGGGTTTGGAGCACCTTCGAAATCCTTCATCTTCTCTATTTGGTCTCTCTATTTGAGGTAGGGATAACTACTCACTTTTATGAGTTTTAACATAGATGTTGGGCACTTTGTATAGGGTTTGAGATTTGAAATATTGAAAAGAGGGGTTTTGTTCTTTTGACCAATACATGTGTGTTTTGGGTCTTAAAAGAGGTTATTGATGTTTATTGTTAATATTTGAACCTTTGGGGTCAATGTTGAGAAAAGAGAGGGAAAAACCCTAAATTATTATTATGAATTAATTTGTATAATTAATTTGGGAAAGTTATGGAAATATGGAATTGGGTTGGAAATAATGAAATTGGCTTATTATGAGATTGAATGGTGGAGTTGGATTTATTAATCACCCACCTTTGAAAATATTGATAATTTATCTGTTTAATGCATTTATTATCTGTTTAGAAATAATTGCTTTGGGCTATCGGTAGAGGATAGTCTTGATTGTTGTAGACACTGCATGATGATTAGGCGAATTAAAACTAATCGGTTGAATATGTCATTGAATATGACGGTTGGAATAATACATCAAATTTGTGTATTGATTGATCGTGTATATGATAATTGTTTATATATATATATATATTGTATTGTGTGGGAGGAGATAGGGGATGTACTCCACGGTTTGGGAGGAGATAGGGGATGGACTCCTAAACCAGATTTTATTTGGGAGGAGATAGGGGATGGACTCCATTGATACAGCAAATCTGTATATCATTTATGAAGTATGAAGTATTTTAATATGAGTTGTTGTCTCATGTGAATTGTGAAGTATGAAAGTGTTTTATTATGAGTTATAATCTCATTTAAATTGTTGATATAGGAAAGGATCATAGACATACTTGTCATGGATTTGGATTGTGCTGTATGTTGGTTTATATGAGTTAAACATTTATCAAATGCTAATGTTTTAGTTATTGCTCATATTATGTTTAGAATATCTATACTGGGCGTCGGCTCACCCTATATGGGACATTATTTTCAGGTACAGGTGACATGCCACCTCTAAGGACGTAGCTTGGGAGGCTTAGTGGCTGAGAGATCTTTTGTGATGTCCAGGTGATATGCCGCCTCCAAGGATGTAGCTTGGGAGGTTGTAGAAGCTGAAGGCTTCCTTTTTGTGATTATTTTGTGTGTTACATGTAAATCAAGCCAAGGGCTTATTTTGTGTTTTGAGTTAGTACTCTCTTTTTTGTAACCAAGTGTTGGCTTGGAAAGTTGTAAGCCCGTAGGGCATTTACTTTTGATGTCAACATGTAATACTTTTGTAATGAATACTCTGACAAATAGAAATATGCTTTATCCTCTTATGTCAATGCATGTCAAGAATGCGGGTTTATATTCTATTATTTTGAGGGCGTTACATAACTTTTCCCAAAATTACCCAATAACACCATCTAATCAAAATGACTAAAATTTATGTCAAAACTCATAGAATAGACTAGGTTATCCCTACCTCGAAATTAGAAGCCCAAAGGAGAAGATGGAGAAAACTCAAGATGCTCCAAACCAAAAGATTTTCGGATTAAAGTGAAGCCCACACCAAGAACAACCTTTCTTACAAAGGGACTAGGCTAGAAACACACTAGAACTAGGTGTATTTTTAGAGAGAAGGTAAATGTAGAGAGAGAGGCAGCCGATCTAGGGTTTGAGAAGAAAAGAGATGTAGAAAAAGTGAAGAAGAAGCTGCTGCTGCGAACTAATATATTCGAGGCTCGCTCTAGCGAAGAAGTGGTCGCTCGAGCAACCAGACACAAAGAGACCTCGCACGAGCGTAGAAAGCCTCGCTCGAGCCAACAATTCGAAGTTTCAGGTCTGCAACCCAAAAGCGTGCTCGAGCGAAGAAAAGCTCGCTCGAGCGAAGAAACCCAAAACATACAGCTCGCTCGCTCGAGCGAAAGAAAGCTCGCTCGAGCCAAGAATCAAAACCATCGGGTCAAAATGCAAACGCAAGCTCGAGCGCAAGACTTCTCGCTCAAGCCACCAGACACATCACCCAACTCTCGCTCGAGCGAAGGAACCTTGGCTCGAGCGAAGGATCTAAAACACAGAACTCGCTCGAGCAAAGGAACAAAATTCTGGGCAGCAACCATTGGTTTAAACTCACTACCAACCTGTAACAAACCTGCCCAACATATCTAAAACTTGAATATAAAGAATTAAAGGATGACAACAAGATATGTACAACAACCAACACCACGGAACCTAAGTTCGGAATACAACAACCAAATGGGAAAAAACTGGGATCGCTATAATCAACCCCTTTAAGCCTGATGGAGAGGTGTCACGTGATAGAGCTACATACAGCTGGGCATGAGAGAAGACTGGATTTGGAAGATAAAGGTCCACATTCTTCAAAGTTTGCCCTTGACTCTTATTTATTGTCATAGCGAATGCCAACTTTATTGGAAATTGCCTTCTTTTCATTGCAAAAGGAGCATGATTTTTGGAAAGTGTTAAAACAATACGTGAAGGTAGTACTTTCTCACCAACTCTAGACCCTATAATAACTCTAACTTCAATTACTCGACTTCCCGTCTTATCAATAATTAATCGAATGCCATTGCATAATCCCAAAGATTGGTTGACATTTCTTAGAAGCGTTATTGGTGTTCTAACTTTCAACTGCAAACAATGATTTGGGAGTCTTGGTAAATTCAAAGAATGCAAAAGTTCAGGAGGGTTCATGTCTTGAATGTCTCTCACTTTCTGTTGGACACAATTTATTAGCACTATTAAAAGTTTTCATCTCTCTAGGAAGCATTGAAACCATAATAGAATTGATTTCATCATCACTATTCTTAGGAGCTAAAATGCCTCGTTCTTTTAAGTATGACATATCTTGATATTTATTTATGAAATCAGGATAGGTGGCATCGATTAACTGGTGCAAATCTCTTTCTCCATTTTTTTATAACAAATTTTTCTAGTATCTGTATCCAGTTAGGTTCATGGCCTTCACTAAATGAGCTTTCCATTATTTTCCCTTCACCAACCAATTTAATTCACTCTGCAAAGTCACGTAATTCATGATGCGTATGATTAGAAATATCTTGTGCTATAACACGCATATTTCTGGTAAGATGCAAAACTTGACAATGCTCCCAAATTGTTGACTTAGGTAATGAAGCTTCCACTGTTTGTTCACACCCACTTCTAGGTACGACAAGCAATATTTGTCTAAAGTCACCACCAAGCACAAATAGTTTTCCACCAAAAACCCTATCCTCTGAACAATGTTCTATATTTTTCAATATGTTCCTAAATGTACGATCAACAGCTTCAAAAGCATGACGACTAACCATTGGTGCTTCATCCCATATAATTAATGATGCCTCTTGAATTAACCTTGGCAAATCTGTCCCTTGATTTATTGAACAACATGATGAGTTATTAGGGTCAAGTGGAATCTTGAAATGAGAATGGGCAGTTTGTCCCCCGGGTAAAAGCAAAGCTGCAATACTTGATGATGCAACTGAAAGAATGATTTTCTTATCGGATCGAAATTTTGCAATTAAAGTGTTCCATAAATATGTCTTTCCAGTTCCTCCACTACCATACACAAAAAATAAGCCCCTATGATAAGTGGAATAAGCTTCCATTATGGTGTTAACACTACAAGAATTTTCACTTTTGGCGACTAAATTTTTAATCGCCAAAGTCAATTTTTAGTCGCCGAAGGATTTTAGCAACTAAATTTTTTGGTCGCAAAATTAGTAGCCAAAAACTAGTCGGGAAAGCTAATTAGCGACTAAAATAATTTTAGTTGCCAAATGTATTCGTTTGCTGACTAAATATTTAGTTGCCAAAAGGTTGGACATTAAATTAAATTAGACCCTTTTCGGCGACCAAACTTTTAGTCGCCTAAAGTCCCACCTTTTTAGCTACTAAAATTATAGTTGGCAAAGAGTTCTGTTTTGGCCACTAAAAATTTAGTCTCCGAAAGTCCCCATCTTTGGCTACTAAATGTTTAGTCGGCAAAGAGTTCCTCTTTTGGCTACTAAATATTTAGTCACCTAAAGTTTTACATTTTTTGCTACTAAAATTTTAGTCGGCAAAAGTGTGTTTATAATTTAGTTTTTTGTTTTTTGCTACAAAATATTTTAGTCGCCAAATGTCTTCTTTTTTTTTTTTTTTTTCGGCTACAAAACTTTTAGTCGCCAAATGTCTTTTCCCAATTTCTTTTTAGCTACTAATTGTTTAGTCGCCAAAAACATGATATTATGTTTTATCGTGAAATTATAATTTCTCTGCAACCTGTCTATATACAATGCAACCTGTAATACATATAAAAACAAAATGATACATACTATCAATCATTCTACAATCTGCGTCCATATACCAAAAATAAATAACATTAAATATCAAAGTCCATACAAATCAACTATTGTCCAAACTAAAATAATAATTCCATACAAAATATATCATACAAAAATCAAAGCCCTCTGTATACAAAAAAATACATTTACTACCAAGCGAAATTACCATTTGGCATGGTACAAATTACCATCGTAATCTATACCACAACAAAAGGTGATATATGTACCACGACAAAAGTTTTCTATGGACCATGACAAAATGTCCCATATGTATGCCGACAAATGGTATATATGTACCACGACAGTCATTATCCATTGATTGCCAAAAGTTTTTTGTGTCAATAATAATAAACTACAGAAAAGCTGAGGATGACAAAAGTATTATATTAGTTTTACACAAAAGTGAAAATTCTTCTCCATACACCAATATGGATTATCCACAGGTCCACGCAACAAAGCCATCTACAAAGAAAAATAAAAAAACGAAACATTAGAATTGGTTACAAAATATCAATTCAGTTAGCCATATGGAACAGGTTCTAACATGCATTTAAGGTAGAACAAGACCTAAAATGTCTTCTTGAAATAAAAGAAAGTACATATATATATATATATGTATCATGCAATATTTATTCCAACCAACTGCACAAAAAATGTAATATGTAATTTCTTCATCCTATAAATATATAAAGGCAATTATTAAAATATGTAGATGTTATTTTAATAAAGTTGTTGCTTTTTTAAACTAAGTGTTGCAATTTTTTTGACTAAGTGTAAGGCGTATTCGGGGCTGTTCTGAATTTTTGCCCCCGGAAAGCCTCTTTTCGAGTAAGTTTAGGACGTATTCGGCTCTAACTCCCAATCTACAGGTCCAAATTATGTTCCATCAGATCTCACAAGTCTTATTTGTCATGGCAAAGCTATCCGTGTGAGCCACACGGTCGTTCAAGGGCTGTTTTGAATTTTCGCCCCCGAAATGCCATTTTTCGACTAATTTTAGGGCGTATTCGGCTCTAACTCCTAACCTACGAGTCCAAATTACGTTCCGTCAAATCTCACAAGTCCTATTTTTCATGGAGAAGCTATCCGTGCGAGCCACATGGTTGTTCGGGGGCTGTTTTGAATTTTTGCCCCCGAAACGCCTTTTTTCAACTAAGTTTAGGGCGTATTCGACTCTAACTCCCAACCTACGGGTCCGAATTACATTCCGTCAGATCTCACAAGTCCCATTTGTCATGGCGAAGCTACCCGTGCTAGCCACATGGTCGTTCGGGGGCTGTTTTGAATTTTTGCCACCAAAATGCCTTTTTTCGACTATGTTTAGGGCGTATTCGGCTCTAACTCCAACCTACGGGTCCGAATTACGTTCTGTCAGATCTCACAAGTCTTCTTTTTCATGGTGAAGCTATCCGTGTGAGCCACATGGTCGTTCGGGGGCTTTTTTGAATTTTTGCCCCCAAAACACCCTTTTTCGACTAAGTTTAGGGCGTATTTGGCTCTAACTCCCAACCTACGAGTCCGAATTACATTTCATCAGTTCTCACAAGTCCTATTTGTCATGGAGAAGCTATCCGTGTGAGCCACATAGTCATTTGGGGGCTGTTTTGAATTTCTCCTCCAAAACGCCTTTTTTCGACTAAGCTTAGGGCATATTCGGCTCTAACTCCCAACCTACGGGTCCGAATTACGTTCCGTTAGATATCACAAGTCCTATTTGTCATGGTGAAGCTATCCGTGCGAGCCACATGGTTGTTCGGAGCCTGTTTTGAATTTTCGCCACCGGAACGCCTTTTTTCGACTAAGGTTAGGGCGTATTCGGCTCTAACTCCCAACCTACGGGTCCGAATTGCGTTCCGTTAGATCTCACAAGTCCTATTTGTCATGGAGAAGCTATCCATTGGAGCCACATGATCGTTTGGGGGCTGTTTTGAATTTTCGCCCCCAAAATGCCCTTTTTCGACTAAGTTTAGGGCGTATTTGGCTCTAACTCCCAACCTACGGGTCCGAATTATGGTCCGTCAGTTCTCACAAGTCCTATTTTTCATGGAGAAGCTATCCGTGTGAGCCACACAGTCATTCAGGAGATGTTTTGAATTTTTGCTCCCGAAATTCCTTTTTTCGACTAAGTTTAGGGCGTATTCGGCTCTAACTCCCAACCTACGGGTCCGAATTACGTTTCGTCAGTTCTCACAAGTCCTATTTGTCATGGAGAAACTATCCATGCGAGCCACAAGGTCATTTGGGGGCTGTTTTGAAGCTGTCCATGGGAGTCACAAGGTGGTTCGGGGGCTGTTTAGAATTTTTGCCCCCTTAATGCCCTTTTTCGATTAAGCTTAAAGCGTTTTCGGTTCTAACTCCCAATGTACACGTGCTAATTACATTCCGTCTACTGTCACAGGTCCTATTTGTCATGAGGAAGCTGGTTGTGACATCCGTATGGTGGTTCGGGGGCTGTTTTGCATTTTCGCCTCCTTAATGCCTTTTTTTGGTTAAGTTAAAGGTGTTTTTGGCTCTAACTCCCAAACAAGTACCATATGAACTATTTGTTGTTGCATCAACAGCTAAAAGTAAGACTGGTTAGAGCCCTTTTTATGCTGGACATGTACTTCATTTCTCTCTAGTCTGCTCTTGTTCTGCTGTCCAGTAATGGGTCAAATAACCATCTCAATATCCTTCCATTTTTGGGTAGATAGGTTAGTAATTTCAAATAGTAGTCAGACCTCCATTAACATGATTACATGAACAGAGAACATAGCATGAGTTAAGCTGAAATTAGAACTATCATACTACTCATGCCTCTTGTATATTGGACTCTTTAAGACTATAATTCACTATGACCTTTTATTGTACCCTAAACAAAATACAAAACTAGAATAACAATACCTTTTTGATTTCATGCTTCTAATTTTTTTTTTCCCTCTCTTTTCTTCCAATTAAGGCTTGTATGGATAATAAATTCATATTGTTGTTTTGGTACTCTATTGTATTCCTTTAACCCTCTCAATTTTTCTACACACTACTAAAATTTAATTATTGTGTATGAGTGGTTAAGGCCAAGTTGTTTCTCTATGCTATCCAACTAGAATCTTGTGTATTGAATTTTTTTCTTCTTGTTAAATCATTATATAATTTTAATTTTATACACTCACTTATACATTTTTATACAACTCTGCCAATGATTGAAAATTGCAAATGCAATGCACAGCCCCCACCATTGTCCCATCTCTTAGCTTATGTTTACTTCTAGGTTGACAAGTTGTTGGTTATGGAAATTGGTTAGTTTTATATACTCCTTATATTCTTATAAACTAGGTGGAATATTTGTAGTGGTCATGATGGCTCAAGCACACTTTTTTGGGTCTTCAGTCCAAGTTTTAGTAAATTCAGATAGGTTATGCCCATCAAATTCTTAGTTTCCAAATATGAATAGCTTAGGAGCTCTTAAAGTCCATGTATAGTTGGATGCAATCCTATGTGAATCTATGTGTGCTACCCACTATATATTTCTACTTCTCTACTGCACTAAATTAAGGGAGAGAGAAAGAGAGAGAGCCCATGGACAACTACTTGGTGGCCTTATTTCTGCTTGGTATGTAAACATGTGGTTAGATATGGTAGCATGTAAGTCATGAAGTTAGGTTCTAAAGCCAGATGGAAGAACAAGCCTCACAACTCAAACCATTTTAGCAATGGGGCAATGTTATGACAATCAAGAAACAGGAAATGGCTGCATTCTTTCAAGTAAAAAGTGATTTGATAGTCTAATTGCAATTACTTGTGAAAGGGCAACCCTCTGAGCATGATACCATTATAATACAAACTATTCACCAGTGAAAAAAAATAAAAGTATTGATTTTGTCAATCTTGAAAAACACTGCTGAACTTGCTAATACAGAAAACAAATGTATTGTTTTAAATGATTAATTGAGCTTTCTTACCTAATCCAAACAGAACATAAAACCCAGAAGCCACATCTATTTCTGACCGTTCTTCCCTGTATACACCAGAAAAAGAGAAAAAGGGAATAGAAAAGCTGAATGTATTAGCCATTGCAAAGACATCAGCAGTTACAAACATTAAACAAAAAAGGAAGCACTGAAATCTGCAAATGTTCCTGTTTCACTACAACAGTTCTATTTGTTGTGAATCCATTCCTGGTATAGTGTTTCAACATGCTGCTCGCATACATACAGTTCCAGAAAGAAAATAGATGCAGTTATGTTTAAGACCAACCTATCCATATAGGTCAGAGTGGATAAAAGATAATATGACCCCAATACAGG